AAAAAAAAAAAAAAAAAAAAAAAGCATCAATTGGAATTTTTATTATGATGGAAAAAAAAAAAAAGAAATAAATAAAGAAGGGAATAAATTAAAGCTATTTTTTAATATATTGGAAATCTGACTCCACACGGTATCATCAGGGCAAATAAATAAATTTTAATTTTAATTTTAATTTTAATTTTTTCCATTTTGGAAAGGACAATAAAAAATAGAATACAATAATGGAAACGACACCAATTTAAACGCAACCATCCATAATTTATGCTTTAATTCTAAAGGGAAATTATGCATTAAGAGGCATTTACATGCTTTTATCTAATTTCGGATAAATGCCAAATTAAAAAATAAAAGTATATTTAAAATATTATTTTCAAAAAAGATTTGCTCGGAAGATTTTGTTCATAGATATTGTAAATATTCCATTATGCCATATATTAACGATTAAATTTTGTTTGGATAAGAAGTGAATATTTATATAAATCATTTTCATTAATATTTTTAAATTAATTTATAGATTTTTTTTTTATTTTTAAAAACATTTTCATTTTATTTATTTATTTTAGTAAATTTATATGTGTCTAGCAAATGAACATTTTGAAGAGTTTTTTAAAGGACATAATAACAAAAATTAGTAACTGGGAGTGGAGGGAGAGCTCGATATCGTGTTTTCATTTGATGTCTAATGTTTAAATTTTGAAAATTTATGGTTATGTTTGGCTCCGATCTTCTAAGATACCATAGAATAATTCATAGATTGTGTAATTGTTATGACGCTAAATTTAACACATTTTTTTCCTATAATATTAGTTTACTAAAATGTGATGTGGAAAATATAGCTCGAGCGATTAAGTTATGCGTATTTTCAACCACACGCTATACCTTAGAAAAAAGGCTTCAGATTTAAATTCAATTTCACGAATCAAAATTATTTGAGAGTTTTCTTGAAAAATTTGTATTTATTATTATTTTTTACGATTATTTCATAGTTTTCATATTTCTTAATTTTTTTTTGAAATAATATTCTTATTTTTTAAAATAAAAAAAAGTTTTCAAAACTAAAAAAACAGGAGGGAGTAGTATTAATAGGTTGAATTTAAAAAATTAAAATAAAATTTGTTATCAATAAAATTTAAATTAATTAATGATGTTATGTTTAATAGATTATACACCCATTTTTAAAATTTAAAAATTAATGGAACTATTTATAAATAAACTTTAAATTTATAATTTATGAAATCTTAAATTTTTTAATTTTATATGTAACGATGTATTAGTTTAAAAAAATTAGAAAGTTAATAGATTAATTTTTTAACCTTAATTTTTTTTTTATTGCAATTGAAAATTAGGAACTTCTGTTGTCTGCAACTTTTCACCCCTCGATTTGACCGCATTTAACTAAAATTGACCAAACGACCAAATTCCATTGGCGTACTCCAAACATCCAATTCCAATCCACTTAATCTCTCTCCTTCAATTCCGATCCACGCCACTTCCTCAGCCAGTCAACACCTAGTCCTTCACTACACCAAACCCCACCGCACCTCCAACTGGTCCAGCCGGTCATCCCGGTCCCAAAAAGCTCCCCCTTCATTTGCATTTCATTTCGTGTGAATTTCAATGTCATTTACCCTCGTTTCCTCCCAACTCCCCACATTAAATTTAAATTCCCCCAAAATTGTTCAATCCGCATTTC